TCCGGTGTGGACCACAACAACCGGATCTTCCCCCTCCAATATCCTTTGAAGCAGGTCAGAGATATCCCTTACCCTGGCACCAGCAGGCAACACACCATGTGGGGCTCTCGATAATGCTTACAAAGAATACTATCTATCCCCCCTAATTATAGAATCCCCTACAACTACCACCTGTCTTTTTGCTCCCCCCTGTTGAATGGCCTCCCGTACCACAGTGCAGTGGTCAGTTGGTTCATCCTCCCTACAGCCCTTTTCCTCATCCATACAGGGAGCAAGTACCTCGTACCTGTTGGACAAGGTCAAGAGCTGAGGCTCCTGTTCCTGACTGCAGGATCCCCCTACCTGCCTCGCTTACAGTCACACCCTGCTGTCCCTGGCCACTGACCAAATTTGAAGTACTTATTCTACCGTGTGACTGCCTCCTGAAACACAGCGTCCAGGTACTTCTCCCCCTCCCAGATGTGCTGCAGTGTTTGAAGTTCCGATTCCAGCTCATCAACTCTGAGCCGAAGTTCCTCAAAACCAACAACTTGCTGTAGATGTGGTCACTGCAGTTCACAATGGCATCAGCCAGCTCCCACATCACACAGCTACAACACATCACCTGTCCAGCCATTTCTACTTAATTACTTTATTAACTTATATAATTTATTAATTAAATTTGTTGATACTTTCCTCCCTCCAACAGCTTCCAGCCAAAAAAAAGCAAAACAAGGAAAAAAATTCCCTCTACTCTAGATTGTCAAAAGAATAAAAAAAAAAGAGACTTACCTAATTGACACTACAGTTTTTTTTTGGTTAGAGGAGGAGGATGGGTGGAAGACACTACACGTGTAGTGTTTCGGGTTTAGACAATGCCTGACTATAATACTTCACTTCCCAGCTCGCACTCTCACCACTCCCGCTGCTGTTTTTGCTCCATGAAACAACATCACTATTGCAGAGAATGTAACAATTTGTGCTCCTGAGAGTAATCTGTTAATAGTCAATGTCTTTTTGTTTAAGAATAAAGAACTATAATAGGATAAACAACTATAATAAAACAAACTGTAGATGCTCAGCAGGTATGGCATGGAAAGACAGTTAACAAAATCCAGTGACCCTTCTTCAGAGCACCCCACGGGTTTTCTTGGGATAGCATGGTGGGATCATAACAATCTGTGTACTTCATTTTCAGTATTCAACTGAAAGAGCGTACAACCCACTCAAATAATATCTAGGCCACGCTCTAGTGTGTGCTAAAAACCAACAAGTTTGCAACTTGTACCCACAGTCTTCGAATGCAGAGCTGTCAAAGGGACGGGGTGAAATGCATGGTGGAAAAGAGAAAAAGGAGGTGCAAGCAACCAACAATAGTGCATGATGGAAGCATCAGCCACATGAGCCATCATTTATCTTGATCTCAGCTGGTGAAATAAAGGTAACTCAGATGTCCCAAAGCTTGAGTAGAAGAATGAAAGCTGTGAATGGACAGGTAAAACTACAATCCAACAAGAGTCAACACTTTGCAGAAGGGGAAATATTGGACACATCAAATAATGTGACGAGAAGGAGCACCCAGTCCAGACACACCCACAAGATGCAGAAATCAAATGCAAAGCAAATTATTGACAGACAGCAACAGCCTGGTAATAGAGCTGTGGAAGTGGTTATGAACATTTAAGTGCAGTGGGGGCAAATTGTCAGACTCCATGCACTTAGAAACTGCATTCTCCAGGTTTTAACATATTGAAAGTGGAAAACTAACCCTGATAAATATAACTCAAGTTCCAATTTAGAAAATTAAACCCAGGATAAAACTTCACAAATGGAACTGGAAAACAAATCTTGGAAAATTACGATCAATTAACCTGGCTTTGTACATCATACATGTCATTTATTTTTAGGTGGTTACTGCGGTAATTAGTCACTGCACATACCTACAAGATTTCCAAGGTTCTTTTAATGCGACAGCATAAACTTTTACAAAAAATATACTAAGACACATGCAAGACAACTTGAAAAGATCTTAAACAGCAAAATCATAGGCTCAATCCTTTCCTTGGCAACATCTTTCAGATGCTCAATCTCAGAGAAATACCATTCTTCTCTAAACTCTAACAAATCATTTGAGTTTTCATTCTTCAATTGCCAGTTCAGATGGGCCTGAATTCCTGTAGCCTCTCAGCCTTCGTCTGATTAGACCAAGGAGCTACTCCTGTTTTATTATTCAGCCCTCTCCTTTCAATCAAACCCGACCCCACCACTTCTCCCAGCCTTCTCCTCCTTCCTCAGAACCCCAACCATGCTAAACTTCAACCACTCCCACCCTCAGCACTTCCTTCTCAACCCTTTACATGCTGTCCACTTACTCCACACCCCAACTCTTGCTCTCCAAAGCACTCATTTCCTTCTGTCACCTCCCCCTTTGCTCACTCCGTCCACCACTCCCCTTATATACCCCCATGACCACTCCTGTTCCCCCTCAGCATACTTTCCCTCACACACAGAAGTGATCCCATTATCTTCATTCACACACTCGAGCCAACCTAATGAGGGTCACATTTCCTATTTGATCATTACTTCTTCATTCAAATCTCATTCTTATTCATTGTGTATTTCTCAACTGCAAATGGACCTGTAATAAGTGCATGCCACATAAAAACAAAAGAAACTACAACCAAATCTGTTGTGTAACCAAAGTTTATTTCCAAGGAAGTCACAAAATAGCACATGAATGGTGCAGTGTGAAGGCAGGAACAGGTTCACAAGAGACAATATTGTATCACTCCAGCTTCTCCTCATTATATCAATGAACAAGATAGTCAGGGCATGGCAGCAAGCCACATACAATATGTACAATGTAGTAACTGATGAAAAAAGGACTCAACAGAAAGCATTTCCAGCACAAGAGACAGCAGCTCAAAAGTCTCATGGGCATGAGCACACAACTCAAAGCTAACCAGATCTACATAGCACGTCTGATGTCGCAAATTAATCAGTAACTTTAAGCTACAGACAGTATCTGAGATATTCATGCAGGCAAAGTTAATAAACTGGTTGCAAGAATCATCAGTTTCCTAAATGCCTCAATGTAATTCTTCTCCAATCATGCGAAGAGTCAGCAAGCCATGTATCATTTTAAAGCCTGCAAGACTGTACTTCTACTGAATATCAGAACACATTTCTCAAACACAATAGACTATTTTAAATACTCTAATGTGCTCATTACATATTTCTGTTCCAGCAATATCCCAAAGCACTGCACAAAACCAAATACCACAAACTAACAAGTGCAGGATTTACAAGTAGCAAGGCAAAAATTTAGTTGTTTGCAGGTATATTAGGAAACACATGAAAAACCAGTAAATACAAAACACTCAGTACATAACCCCAGATGACATGTTACAAGTTAAACAGCACAACACCATGAAGTTGCGTTAACAAGTCTGAAGACGCAGAGTGTTATCTGCCAATAATCAAAAAGTAAACTAAAACTGCTGGTCTGCTTAGAGGGGGTATATTGATCCCATCGGATCTGCTGGAGACGGGCAAGCTTGTGGAATCAAGAAAAGAGAAGAGAATTAACCCATCGATGGATAAAGTAGTAGGTAAGCAATCAATGGTCTGCCCACAATACAATCCTACCTTTATAAAAACCTTGACTCTGCCCATAATTCACAAGTTTGACAACTTCTGCATCTGAAAATCTCATCACTGGTTACATTATAGAATACATGAAAAGAAAGACAATGAACAGCTAAAATAGGGTAAAAAATGCAATGGACTACATGTAGAGTCAATGAAACAAATGCAAATCACATTCTTAACAACTCCGAGAAGTCTGTACATGGATCTTCACAAAGGCCACTATGCTTCAGATTTACTTCCTATCGTTTGACCTGGAGCGGCTAAAAACAAAAAGAAAAAAAGATTAGAAACAAAACAAGTAGAAAACATTCCATTCTGTCCTTTCAATCACCAAACCAGTGCATGCTGCCCAAATGCTGGAAGTGCAGACATCCAGCCTGAGTACTCTGGCTTTTTACAGGCATCTATTAAAATTAGATTAATAATCCCACTGAAATTTCAACAACAAAAACATTCCCCAATCCTGGATATTAATCAAAGGACGTAGCTAGCCCAAAACAGACTATTTATTAGTGATTTATTAGAACCATAGAAATTTACAGATAGCAAAACAGCCGTTAGACCATTTATGCATGACAAGGTACACAATTCATGCTAATACCCACCTTCCAGCTCTTGAACTGTACATTATCTTACAACACTTCCAAGTGCATTTTGGGGAACTTTCCTCATGTTACAAGGATTTATTCAAGTACCACCTTTTCAGACAGAGCTCTTAATCTCCACCACACCCTCTAAACAAAATTAAGGAACTCCAGTTTTACACCATTGCAACTTACCTGCGAGACCTGGAGAACGAACGAGATTGTTTGTGGTTCCTCTCCCTGGACAAGGACCTCTCTCTCCTACGATCCCTCGAGAGGGACCTATGGCAAAGTCAAGATTGCTATTAGATCACGAGATCTATTGAGTCCTCAGAGATAGCAAGAACTGCACATGATGGAGTCAGAGTCAATACAGTGTGGAGCTGGAGGAACACAGCAGGTCAGGCAGCATCACAGGTAGTAAAGTCGATATTTTGAGTCAGAACCCTTCTTCAGAACTAGAATCCTGAAGATGGGCCCTGACTCAAAACATCAGCTTTCCTACTCCTCTGATGCTGGCTGACCTGCAGGGTTCCTCCAGCTCCACAGTGTTGAACCTACTGAGTCCTACTGTGGCAAGCATTTCGGTTTTACCCAAAGGACCTAACAGGTATTCAACAACCATACTAGGTGAGCATAAGGAGCCATGCCTCATCACGAAATTATTCACCACTGCCAAGCTCCTTCTGCATTGGGATAGTGACCCAACATTCACACAAGAAACAATTAAGACAACAGAATCTACTTTGGCCAAATAATTTCAGGATGTAGTTGTAACCAAGGACAGAAGTGATACTCTTGAGCCAGGAGGCCCAGGCTTAAGTTCCACCTGTTCCAGGTATCACAACCTGTTCAGAAAGATTTAGAAAATAGTTAAAAGTGATACACTACACAATCCATGATCATCAAGCCTTCCCTCCTTCACACTGCCCCCTAAAATAACGAACTATCCAATTATTTGAATTAATCCCAAACAGAATTTCTTTCTTGAGGAAGAAAGGAGTTAGAATAGGAGCCAGTCCCAACTCAATAAGGATGTAGTAACTAGGAGCAGCATGCAGGATTAGGACACTTGAATTGTAACAAATGGCTCATACCTGCTCCTACTTCTGCTGAAGCTCCTCCGGCGAGGTGGTGATCTAGAAGTGAGAAGGAAGATCAGTTAGGAGGTGAACTAATGATAGTCCACACAATGACCGGTACAAAGTACCATCCTACTTGACCACAGTTGGTCCCAATAACCTGGCTCACTAGCAATGGCAATTAAATACCTGAACATGTCAGAGATTTAACAAACCATCTGCACAAAAACCTGACCCAAGATTAAAATTAATCTATACACCTTGAAGATGACCAAACACCACTGCAGGGTTCTCATCAGTCTCAACGTGTCAATGAAAATCCAGAAATACTTAAAATCAATTTAGTGAAAATGTAATCACAAATGAATCAACTGACTGAGCACGAGAAAACAACCTCTCAAAAAACAGGAAACAAATGTGAAAAAGCTGGAAGCCAATGAAGAGGTTGCGATTAATCCATACCATCATGCTACATAAAAAGTGACAAAAAAATCAGCAAGGGCAAGGAAATCAAACCTGAAAAGTTGACAAAAACAGATCAGTTGATTCCAGCTCTTGGTGGACCTCCGCAATGAAGAATCCACACAGAAAACCCTGCATTGCTGTTAAAACAACTTCAATAATAGACAATGTTCAAAAGACCTATGCTACAACAGAATACTGAATACAGCATTAAATGGAACCTGCAGATTAAAGGCAGGGATGGAAACTATTTTAACGAGTATACTGGTCAGGAACCAGTAAATATTCAATCTTGTTCCCAGAGCACCTGCAAAAATGCAGCTGGCACATACTGCCAGCAGGGGGCCTCCATGAGCTACCAGAAAGCTCAAACAAGTAATTCACCATTTTAATTTAGGTGGACATTCTTCCAAAGATCAGAGACAAAGGTCCCTGTACAGGCGATTGACCTCTAAGATTTCCATCCCTGGGTGCAACTGAAGGTGCACAAACATCTATCTTAGCACAGCTTTTAATCTAGAAACACTACTGTAACAATGCAATACATCATACATATGTAAGCCCATGTGGAATAAGTGTTCTGTTAACGCTCAATTCTTTAGGTTAACTGGCTATAATTCCAAATGCGATGTCTCGCTTCAATGTGTGCAGACCTGATTTCTGGATCTTCAATAGCCTGGACATTAATCTTCACTTATTCGAGGACAATGCACATGGTAGTGGCTTACTAACAATGTTAATTCTGAAGACAAAAGACCATTTGGTCATTTTTACACTATAATGGAGCTGCTTGGGAGGTGAGAATGAAGCACTGAACACACCTCAACCAGCAAAAAAAATCAAACTTCTATCATTATCAATTGCAATACAGAAGAATCTTTAAGGTTTCATGCATTTTTACACTGCTAGATGTGTTCCCCATATCAAGACAATTAACAGCACTGTGCAGAATTAGCACTGAGCCAATGCCCGACCAAGCCACTACTGTACACTGCCCTCAGTGGAAAAAATCCAGGGCCAAGTTTTAAAGACAGAAAAGGAAATTAGGATGTCAATATCACCAAGATAGCTAAGGGATAGCTGGCACAACATGGCCACTGTCAATTCATAGGCATAGCATTTGCTAATTAAGACAGCCTGATGCCCAACAGTGATTTTTTCCACCATGCTGTATTTTTTCTGCACCAAGGACTATCCATTCCAATTAGCCTAGAACCTCCAATACACCAATCCCAGCTACACTTCTATCACCAGGACCAGGCCAGCTCTCAAGGGAAGCAAATGCCTGCTTTTGATTGTCTGTAAAAGCTTAGTTGGGGCCTCCTAGTGAACCAAGGTTGCATTTTGCACCATTTAGCAGAAGGTCCATGGAGAAGACTATGGCTATGACCTGCCAGGTGGCAAATGTCACATCCCTTCAGAGTTACTCTGGCCCAATTTAAGACATATTTTGCACCTGGGTCTGAAAACACGTGACAAAAGCCACATGAACTTACAATTGTACAAGCTAACCAAGGATGTTACATGGCAGAGATTTGAGACATTATTTCAGAACCCAAGTACAAAAGTCTTGCTGTTACTAAACACGAACACTTTTTAAAAACAAAGTTAAATTCAGTCTTTACACAGCCAGCCCCTAACAGAACACTGTAGTCTCTTTACCTTGTCAAAAAGCTTACTCCATTATACCAGCAGTAGACTATTGTATAAAGCAGGAAAAACTTACTAGTCTTTTGGTTTTCAACAAGCTAGAAATGGAGAGGTGAGGCTGCCGGACTGACGGCCAGGTAGAATTTGCTGAAAAGGTTTGCCAGATGCGTGGTATTTGGTTGGCAGAGGGGGGTGTAGTGGTTTTTTTCCTGCTTTTTATTTAGTCGAAGGCTGCTGAGACAAATGCTGAGTGTTCGGCTGCTGTTGTGGAGACAACGAGTAAAGTAAACAGCTGATTGACCAGAAATGTGTGGGCAGTTGAGGCAGCCGCTGCCGATTGGTCATGGTTGGAGAAGAGGCTGAGAAACAGCATGCTTGGGAACCAAAGGGCGGTGGTGCAACCTGACGACTGGACATGCCTTGGTCATGTGATACCGACACCAGCCAAGCTGATTGGGGCGCGCTGGTCACATGACGCTGAAAGGGCTAGTTGACTGGCTAATGTAGATTCGAAGGGTGGTGAGAAGAGGCATGATGGTGACTCTGCAAGGGGGGTTCATTTTTATTAATATATAAATAAATGGATAAAAATGCATCTTTAAAAATAAATAGTGCAACACACAAGCCATCAGTAAAAACCAATCTTGATCATTAAATAATTTAGCCATTAGTGATGAGTGACAATGCAAAACAGCAATATATAAGCATATAACACTTTGCATCAATCTTATTGCAACTGGCCAGAATGCAGCAACATGCTATGCAATTCATAAATCCATTAATCAGGGTTCCTTCTGAATGCAAACAAAGAAATGCCACTAACCTGCAAGATGCTCTTCTTTGTGGAAAGCAGAACTCCTACCCCATCAGGGGACGAAATGTGTCAACACTGCCAAGTTTGATGTCAAGAATCCAGTTGCACCATAAATGTGAATGTGTTTGCCAGTGTTATAGCAATGAACTTAAACAGGCAACTTTCAGCCATGAGCTGTCCATGACAGGTACGTGTTCTTATTTAACTGTCTGCAAACTTTCCCACACCAGGGAAAAGGAATGGTTTACCTTTTACATCAATTACAAACAAGAAAGCAACTACAGAAGGAACCCCAGGTCAGAGTACAATATGCCTTATTGAGAGTTTACAAGGCAACATTGCACCCCAGAAGTAATTTCAACTCAAAGCCCCCTGCAAAGCTCTCAGGCTGCACTAATAAGCTTAGCAAACTAGTGGTTCAGATAAAGGCTGTTATTCAAATTAGAGAAAAACCTAGGTTTTAAACTTTTTTTAGCAGATCAGTTGAAATCAAAGTTTGAAAATATTTCTCAAGTCTTTATCTTAACCTCCAGTAACCCAAAGGCCCCCTCCCCAGCATTCCCTCAAAAGGCAATCTCTTTTTCCTCAATTGAGGATTTGGAATAACTTTCTCAGACTTTCCATCTTTACTCAGGTACTTAAAAGGGAATGCTGGTGCAGACAGCCCAGTTTTCCTGCAATAGTGCGAAAACATTTACTCTCGGAGATACAGAACTGGCATGTATAGTCTGTTCAACATTCATTCTGCATGCTAAGGGCAGGTCACTTCACTGTCGAGACATGTGTACAGCTGCTAAGTCACCAAGACCAGGGAGTAGAACATGATTATCAAAAATAATTCATTTAAATTTTAACTAGAGACTTACTTTACTACAGAGCACAGTAGCTCTTCAAAAATATTAGATTCAGATTTTTAAAAAGCTGTTTGGAAACCACATGCATTTTCCAAGCATGGTTTCAACCTAATACCCTAATTAATCGATTCTGATCTCCTGGCAGCAATGCTTAAGCATCAAAGCTCAATTTATGATACTGTAAAATAAGCAAAAGTTAAAACTCTGAACAACAGTGTCAAGGAGCAGAAATGGCAACAGCCTTACCACAACACACGAGCGGGAGGCCACTTCGTTTACATGTGGTGTGCTTCCAGCTTTAAGGATGAATCAAAGTCTACTGGGCATGGCAACTAGGGATGTCATGGTGTCCTCCTTAAACAAGAGCAAAACCGATTGCAAGAGGCAGCTCAACAGGAGGCCTTTCACTCAAACAGCTGAAACTACTCATAACAAACGGTAGTCAAACAGCAAGGCCAATTTGATCGGATATATAACCAACAATGGACTGTTAGCCATTACCACTGTGCACCACTGGACGTCAAAGCCATCAAAAGCCACATTTACCAGTTACCAGTGTTAACATCAACAGCACAGCATTTAGAGGCCTGAGAAGTCCATGCCTAGATTACTCGCCGCTTGGACCACTCCACACGTATGGTCATATATTGACTACTGGGTGGTCAACGGGCATGCCTAGGAAGCAGTGACACTCACTGACAACATGCCTTTTAAACAGGTATCTTCATCATGACATCCCTGCTGGCAAACCACAGAACTCAAGGATCATATGGAGTCCTTCCCTATATACATTCATATTAAAAGCAACTGAACACATTATCAGGAAATTTCAGGCTGTTGTTTAAAACTATGTCGCCCATCACTAGTAGCTGTTACATAAAGCAAACAGCTCAACAACATGAATTACACAGATGGAAAACAATTACAGCAATTTTAAATATGAATTTTTGCATGCACAGCTACATCAAAAAGCGATATCACAGTGTTACCTGCGCCGGACAGGGGGGCTTCTACGGCGATAATCCTCACGAGAACGCCTAGCCCATGCTGGAGGTGGGCCACGATTACGGATGCGTCTCTCACCATTGGACAGTTCTACACGGACACGGCAGCCACAGAGATTCCTGAAAATCAATAATTAAATGCTGAGAATGGTTGGACATGTGCCAAGACAATAGGGACCAGTTCAGTACAGCCTCCCCTTTGCTCTGTTTTTAGTTTCACTAGTTTGGGTAAGAATAGACCTTTCAGCCCTTTCTGCCATTCAGCTCCACATTCCTTAACACTTAGTCTCTAGTGATCTGGCTTCCACAACTTTGTGATAGAGAATTCCAAAGGTTCACTACCCACCGAATATAGCAAGGACACTATCTCAGATTGCAGGGTGTGACAATATGTAACTACTGACTTACATTACTAAACATTCCTGATCTATTAAACACCGAACAACATGGTCACTTTTACAACAGTCCATAAGCTCCACAGCACCTAACTCAAGTTAGGAGTAAGTAGAAGACATTTCTTGACCAAAGTACATTGGGTCTGTTACTGGCTTCAAATTGGTCGATTATATGGTTTTTTGAGAACTACTCGCTCAAAATGAAATCCTGTTTGGATTACAACATGATAGAGGTCACCCCAGGTTAGCCAACTCTGGTCAAGGAAAAAAAGTGTTGTTATGCATAAAATTCAGATCAATCCATTCAAGAACTGAAACAAGACTAAAAGAAGCCAGATTTAGGATGAACTGATTCAAAATTGAAGAACAGTATAGTTTAGAATGGAAGAGCCAATGTAGATGATGTATTGGGCTTTGTTTACATCAAACACTAGTGGCAGTTAATCATAAATACATGGATGAAAAGGGGCCGTATCCAGCCTGTTATAATCAGGATTGATTTTACAGCCAGGATTTTCATCCTTAGTACAGGCAAAGAGATTGAAACATGGCTCAATGTACAGGTCAAAGCCAAATACATCACATAGCAATGTGCAACTGAAATGTAGAAAATAAAAATCTTTCACAAGGTTTTATTCCACACCCAACTTTTAGAGAGAGAAACAATTGGTTCTGGATGGGGTTACCCTGTATGGTTCTCAATTCAACACATTAATATGAATAGTGCTGGATGAAAATTCCAAATACCTCAATGATGTTACCTAAGCCATAGTCCTTACTGATTACAGCTTGGAAAGAGGCAGTTGGAACAAGTTTATAAATATCAAAAGTTATACAATTTAAAGCATTTGGGTAATTGCAGTGCCAAAGCATTGATGTTAACACTGTTGTATGTTTGGTAACATTTAATCAGTATTTGTTATCCTGCTACAGTATAAGTGACGACCAGATTAAAGTTGCAGGCACACAAAATGGACACTTTGAAATCACCAACATCTTAGAACCATTGTTCTGCAATCTCACTCTGGCCATTAGATGGAGCAGTTCCAAATGTCCATAAAATATCTCCATTCATCAACATAGTAGATCTGTCTGCTTCTCAGAATCAGTTTTGGGAAGCATGCAACAAAAGCTGCAAAGACAGCTTGACGGAAAGTGACGCCAACTTTGGGGAGAAAAATAATTACCTTCCATCAAGTTCTCTGACTGCATCCGAAGCATCTCGCGGATCTTCAAACTCAACAAATGCAAACCCAGGTGGATTCCGGGCAACCCACACACTGCGGAGTGGGCCATAATATCCAAATGATCTCTCAAGCTCTGTCTTATTTCCATTGTTTCCAAGGTTTCCAACGTACACCTTGCAGTCAAGAGGACATGAACCATGATTCATGGCTGGAACACAAGATACAAGTTAACAAAATTTAGTTAATAGTTTCTACACATTGTGCCAACCTTGAGTCATTGCAGACATTTAAAACCTCGAAAAACAAGCAACACGATGAGCACTTTAAATAATTCAGGAATTAATTTGGAATCCCTCAACACCAGTATAATGGCAATATGGAGGTCATTAAAAGATATCTGTTCTAAATAGACACCGAACCACACAGGAATTCCAGTATCCAGTCACAGCACTTGCAAGTATGAAACTGCTTCACGTTTCACATGTCCGTTGCACTACTGACCCCTTTAAAGTCACACAAAGGGTCTAGTGAGAGTAATGCAACGCTTACTATCCCACAGGAGGAATCCTGAAACCACTACAAACCAAGTAATTTCAGACCAGTATCTGTGGAAACAGCTGCAAAACTCTACAAAGCAAAACACGTAATCAAATATTCAGCACAGACATCCTGAGAAGTGAACAAGGAGCTGGGATGAGTTAGCTTAAAATGTTGCTAAAGCAGCATGCAGACAAAACCAAACAGATCTTGGATACAACAGACCAATATTTCTCCTGAAAACCTTCAAGTGTCAAGTCTGTCACTGGGACAGCTCCAAAAACCAAACTGTGTATGAACTAGTGGATCATTAGCTAGCTCCATATTTGGACCAGAAAAATTAAGTCACAATGACAAAAGTCAACATAAACGAAGTGGAGGTACCAATGTTAGACTGGGGTGGACAAAGTCAGAAGTCACACAACACCAGGTTATAGTCTAACAGGTTTATTTGAAATCACAAGCTTGCGCAGCATAGCCCCTTCGTCAGGTGAAGGGAGAGAAGCACACAAGCACAGAATTTATAGGCAAAGAGTTCAAAAGATTGTACAAATGGTGTGAGTGCAGTGTTGAATAATATTGTTAGTCCCTACAATCTGAAGTGTTAGATGGTGAGAGTAAAGAGTCAACAGCTGAATGACAAGGGGATAACCTATAACCTGATTAAATGAGCCAGAGAGATAGTTACAAAAAATTAAAAATGTGGTGCTGGAAACAACCAAATGACTGAAATAATGTGATAACTCCACTCACACCATTTGTATGACCTTTGATCTTTCTGTCTATAAATTCTGCGCCTGCAGGCTTCTCTCTCACTTCACCTGACAAAGGGGCTACGCTCTGAAAGCTTATGACTTCAAATAAACCTGTTGGACTATGATCTGGTGTCAAGTGAGTTCTAACATAAATGAAGAGATTACCATAGATGGGCTTCTGTCCCATTTAAGATGGCGATGAAGGAATTTCTTTAGATGAAAAGCAGACTGCAGAATCACACTGATAGCAGAGGGGCTGAACCCCTGACTCCTAATTCACAGCAACAGGTTGCCGTCACAAACGTTGGGAAGCACCAACCACCAACTTATCCAAACCTAACATAATGAAGAGCCCTCCACTTATGAGGAGTTCACATGGACAAAGACAGATTGAGCTAATTTGGAGGGGATGGGGGTGTGGAAGTTTGCAGGAAGAGATCCAGATCAAGATTGGGTGGGTTGTGTGCGCAGAGGTCCAGATTAAGGTGGAGGGAGGAGATCAAGATGAAGATGGGGATTGGGGGGGGATGGTAAAAGGCAGAAAGGAATGTGTGTAGGGGGTGTTAGCAAGGTGGG